GTTATGTTACGTAAGGTAATGTTACGTTATGTTATGTTACGTAATGTTATATTACGTAATGTTATGTTACGTTATGTTATGTTACGCTATGTTATGTTACGTTATGTTATGTTACGTTATGTTAAGTTGCGTTATGTTACGTTGTGTTACGTTACATTACGTTATGTTATGTTAACTCACTGTGAATAACTAACGTAAACAAGCACAACTTTGGATTTTAGTAATGCATTAGTTATTGTTGTATTATGGTTAATAAATGCTGCAGAATAATATTAATGTTAGTAAGTACGTGGACCAAGTGTTGCCTAAAAAAGATATTTTTCAGAAGAAAAAATGATAGTAAAAAAATATTGTGAAGCACCACTTGGGAAATAATTTAAAAGATAAATAATTCACAGTAGCCTATAGGGTTAATCATTTTAATGTCAACTGTAAATTTGTAGTCTGCTCAGGCCATCAGGCAGGCGTTACAGAAGCCTGAGGAGCAAATCAGTGTGGTTTCGTGATAGTTTTTATCCTGTCATTATAAGGCTTTTGAATAATACCATTTCTTAAACCCTATTGATAGCTAGTGTAAAATAATAAATCAATAAATAGTTAAACTAGCATAAGTTGTTACTATTACAACTATTATAACAAATGGTGAAATAGGTAGGCTATTTAAGCATCAAGTTATTCTCTTCAGAGATTTTTTAAATTATATCTTTTATAACTATATTTTTTAAATATATTTTTGAAATAAAAAAGCTTATTTATTATGTTAGGATTTTATAGTGTTTGTACAGGGATGTTTTTTATGTTTTGTTGGGTCTGTTGTAACCTAGTTTCGTTCGGCATTACAATTTTATTGTGGTGTTTTGAATGACAAAATAAAGTAACTGAACTGAAATTTGATATTAATCAGTGAAGACGTTTTCTTGTACACTGGAAAAAATGTTTTTTGTTCCAACTACTCATTTAAAATGAGCTCAATCAACACAGATCTTGAGATTTTTTTGGGACAGCTTAATAGTTTTATGTTCAGTCCACTTACAAAAAAAACATTAAGGATTTGCGTGGAATCCAGCATTTTTTACAGCGTGTATCTGGCATGTTCAGCTGGGTTTAATCAAAGACTTGTGTAAACTGTCCAGCCTCTGCTGTTATGTAATGTAATTTCAGCACGTAGGCGCAGCTCTGCATGCGGATGTGCGGGGGTCCGTCCCGGTTGTTGCTAGAAGGGATACAGCTGCGGCCGGATGTTAACAAGAATTATTTAAACAATTTATTATATTATCTTTTAAATAGTATTTTATAAACATCTACCTCCACCCCAACCCATCACATTATTGTAAAAACCCTCATTACACTGAGTAATGTTTA